CTGAGGCCTTGGCCTGTTTCCACCCCTACCTCTGTTCTGCTATTTCTAGAGAAGTCTTATCTTGGTCTCCCAGTCTTTCCTGGACCTGAGTCCTGCAACTGAAACCTGGGGCCCTCAAGTTAAGTCTTTGCTACCATAATTCTTCTATGCTATTCCACCAACTTGCCTGGAATGCTTCCTACTGACTATTGTCCAAGCCTCTCCCAATCATCTATCCTGCCGTGTTCATCTGACGTCCAGTCTCTGGCTCATGGCGTGATCCGTCTTGCTGCCTACTGAGCTCCAGTTAGGACATCCTAAACATTCGGCAGAATGATAGCAAAACTTCAGCCAAAGATTAAGCTGGACAGTCAGCTGCTACCAGCTTCTGATAAAGCCAAGGTGCCCAAAACTCTCTTGTTAATTAAAAAAAAAAAAAGCAAAGGAAAAAAACCACACATGCTGGTTCAATCAACAGCTGGAGGGATAGGAAAAGAAACCAATGAGGAAAAACAGGGAATCTATAACAAGGAGATACAGAATAGACCATATTCCTTTTCCACAAACTAAGCCTATCCCAAACCATATCCTCACCTAAATCCACTAATGCTGGGCTTCTCAACCTTTTTTCGGTGTCACAGATTTCCTTTGATGGTCATGGGGAGGCCATGATCCCTTTTTCAGAATAACATTTTTAAATATATAAAATGAAATACATAGGATTGTAAAAGAAACTAGTTCCCAGACCTTAGGTGAAGAACCCTTGTTCTATGAAAGCATCTAACTATAATTGAGGTTTAAATTGTTTAGAACTGGCCTTAAAACAGGTTTTGAACTATTTCTGTGTCATGGACCATTAGCAGTCTGGGGAAACCTAGGAACGCCTTCTCAAAATAATGCTATTAAATGCATAAAATAAAATACATAGGATTACAAAGAAAACAATTATATTAAGATACAGTTTTGATTTTTTTAAAATGAGTTCAAGGTTTCCAGGTTAAGAATTCCTAGTCTGGGGCACCCAGGTGGATAGAGTACCTGCCCTGGAGTCAGAAGGACCTGAGTTCAAATCTGGTCTCAGATACCTAGCTGTGTGACCCTGGGCAAGTCACTTAACCTCCATTGCCCATCCTTCCCCCACCACCCCAAAAAAAACCTTCTGGGCTAAAGTAATGAATAATAATGACTTCATAATTAAATAACAGTCTGCCCCTGAGGCCCCTTCCTCTGATTGGTTGGTTCTTTTCCAGAGTGCCAAAGTCTAGCCAAGTCCATATTCCTCTCCAGGCTCCACTCCTGATTTTCCGGATCTTCTTCTCCATGCATAGCATTCTCCTCACCCTGGCAGTCCACATGACCATGGCGACCCTGAAAGTGCTCAGACCAGCTATGTCTTCAGGCTCTACACTCCTGACTTTGCAAACTTGCTCCACCATGCTCCTGCCTGGGTAACTTCTCCCCTCTTCACCCCATCTCCTCTACTTTCCACTTTTATTATTGTCTTCCCCCATTAGATTGTAAGCTCTTTGAGGGCAGGGACCACTTGTATTTGTTTTCCCTAGCACTTAGTACAATGCCTGGCACAAAATAAACGCTTATTTTAATTTTCCAAATTTCAGTTCAAAGAGCTTCCTTTTCCTCTCAGCTTGTCTTCCCCTATGGAATCATAGGCAACAGGATCCCCAGTCTTAAAACTTTCCTCCCAAAATCAAAGGTGCACTTTAGAGTATGCCTGGCTTTTCTGTCCTATTCTATCACAGAGTGTAAGATGGAATGACCGCACTTACCTCCATGGTTCTTACCATTTCTACCCCAGTGACCAGTTTCTCTATGATATGAATCAGATCCAAAACAGAATTTCCTTCTGTTAGTTCTCATGTCTTTTGAAGGATGAAATCATCATTCAAGTAACACAATTATTAGGTACTATGCTTTTTGAAAGAGAAAAACAGCTCTAACTCATGTCTGGATAATAAAGTCCTCCCATCTTCACTATACCATGCCTTCATGCTGGGATTATAATCTGCTTTCTTAACTTCATTCATCTATTTCCTCCTTCTGTCCAAGTGGTCTATAGTAGATATACTTCAATGACAATATCACTAGTGTTTTGTCCTCTGATGCTCCTCACCCACCCAAACGTGATCCACCATGCTTCTTCCCTCCAATTCTCTGAATAGTCTCATATGATTATGTTTCATTAAGAAAATGCTAAACACTAAATACAAAAAATGCAAAATACACTGCTGATCTTCCTCTTCCTTTAAAAAAAGCAAACCCTGTTCTTTTCAAACAAGGTATATTCTTCCATGGTTATATTCCAGTCATTGATTCCCCAGCCCAACAAGTCTTAATGATCCCTGTGATTTCTAATTGCCTCAAATCAAGATCTACATCTCACATGTTAATCCTCTGAGCTGATAACTTGGGGCCCAATGCATTCATCTTCTTATCAAGCACAAATATGGACAATTTGCCTGACTGCCTGAGAAACTCTAGAGAAGTTATTTCCCACCTTTGCTTTTCCATCCATAACACAGGGACGGCCACAGGTAGGAATGTATTATTCTGAATTCAGTATAACTAACTAAACTCAGTCTAAAGCACTAGTCTCTAATACATGATGCTGAAAGTTAAGTGACTTGCCTACAATTACACATAGCTAGGAGGTGTCTGAGGCAGGATTCAAACTCAGGTAAATCTCATTCAAACTCTAGCAGTCTATCCATCTGATAGGGAAAAAACCTGATGGCCCCTAAGAATATCCACCATCCTTTAGAGTTGCGAGGCAGTATAATACTATGGAAACAACAATGATCTTGGAGCCAGAAGAATTAAGCTCCAAACAAAGTGCTGATATTAAAAATCACAGATTTAGAGTTGTTAGCTTAATGACCAAACAATATGCTATAATACTTTCATCCTCAGTTTATTCATCTCTAAAATGGGATATCAATACTCACAATACCTCCTTAACAGGGATTTTTTGAAGAAAGTATGTTGTAAGCTCTAATGCACTATATGAATATGAAATATAACTGGTATTAGAACTTCTACTATCACTACCATGTCCTGAATTCCTATATTCATTAACACCCATAATAACAAAGGAAAAAGTTTTTCTACCACAAAACCATATTTCAGTATTTCCTCAGCATAGCTAAGAAACACATAGCTATCTCATCAGTACTAATTGGGTAGACACAGAGATATAAAAGTCAGTGACAATGGAACCAGACTTCAAAAACAAGTCACTAAGAGACTTAAGATAGGCAGTTCCACAGATCCAGGTAAACTAGAGTCATAGTGGGGTGTGCAGACCATTAGAAAATTCACCTGGGCCCAAGACTGGATTTTAATCCCTATTCATTTTTCTGAACCTTTATCCTTTGGTTGCAGAACAGTGAATGCAAAGCACATTGTACTATCAGCAAATAGCAGAAGTTTGTTTGGCTTTTTTTTTAAATTATGATGCTAAAGGAATCAGAGGGTAAGCCCATCACATTTAGTACATCTGTACAATGTATTCATATTTATCTATAACCTCCTCTAATCCTTCCCAAAACACATACTTAACCCCTAATCACTTGGGCAGTTGGAACAAACATGATTCCTGGAGGAAGGCTCCAAATTACATTGACCAGAGCCTCGCAGATCTTAGCAACCAACAAACTGAAGGAAAGAAATAAATTCCCTTAAGTCTACAAAGAACAAAGAAGATGCAGGCAAGGGAAAACACAATTGATGAAGAATTAACCTCCACTTTCTAAAAGAGTAAACCAACCAAGTACAGCTTGGCATGACACTGATGGCTTTTTTCAAAGTTCCGTGCTGAATTCTAAGATATTTTTGAAAGAGAAAAACAGCTCTAACTCATGTCTGGATAATAAAGTCCTCCCATCTTCACTATACCATGCCTTCATGCTGGGATTATAATCTGCTTTCTTAACTTCATTCATCTATTTCCTCCTTCTGTCCAAGTGGTCTATAGTAGATATACTATAGTAGATAATTCCTTCGCACCCACCAATGCCACCAAATGCCTCCAACTCACAGGTGAGACCTTTGATTGACAACAACAACAGCCCTGACTATGGAGTCTTGTGGGCCTTGACATTATCGGTCAATCAGATAAATGAAACTAAATGTAATTTTCAAAAACCTAACTGATATCTTCTTAAAAATAGATTCAGGGGGACTTATTAAGCCAAGCTCTGAATTTCTGCCCACCATTATATTACACTGCGGTCCAACTTCTCTGAAGCTTAATGTTTTCTCAAATAGCAACTCTCAGATTCATCGGGCACCCAAAGGACAGAGTGAGAATTTTAGCTCTAAGTGTGAGAAGTCTCCTGGCTGAAAGAAAGACAGCAGGATTCTCGCAGTTGCTGAAGAAGAATGGAACCACCTACAGGGTGATTTCATCTTTACAATAGCCTAGGTTCCTAAGCATAAATCTCATAATAATTATACCTTATATTTATAGCTTCCAATTATGCCTTAATTCCACAGATCTTAAAACATCCAAAGGGCAAATTCTTAATTATTAAAATCCCCTTGGGAGGCACATATTACTATCTGACACTTCAATTCCCTTAAAGTTACAAACACACAAGAATGGATTCATTCAACGAGCATTTATTAATGATATTATGTGCAAAGCTCCATGCTAGGTCCTAGGTGGTTTAGATAATGTGCTTAGTTCCTATTGGGAGGTATGTAAACAAATTCATAAATATCTATTTTAAATAATGATCCAGAGAAAAAGAAATCTAAAGTAACAAAGAGAATTTGATAATTCCACAATCATAATACAACATAACTACCAAATACCAATCATATATGATATCTGTTCCATTTCCATATGTGCTCTTTTCTTCCCTGGTACCCAAACCACTCCACACCTACTCAGGCTGTTTTCTGCATGTAATTTCGTCACAAATACACTCAGAACCCATTCTAGCCAAGGCTATCATTTGGCTCCATGCACTTCCTTCCACCCACCCTTCCACCAGACTCACTGTTGCTGGATTTGAGGTCCCGATGGATGATGGGGACAATCGCTTCATCATGCAGGTAATTCATCCCCCTGGCAATCTGCACAGCCCAGTTCACTAATATGTCAGGGGGGATTCTTTTTCCTGATAACACTCGATTTAAGGATCCTCCACGTGCAAATTCCATGATCAAACAAAGATTGGGTTCTTTCAGGCAAACCCCTCTCAGAGCAATGATGTTCGGGTGCTTTAGCATGGCAAAGAGTTTGGCTTCCTGACGAACATTCTCTATTGTCTGGCTGATGTCCTCATCAGGGTCATGGCGGGCAGCTTTCACAGCAACTTCTTCTCCAGCCCAAAAAGCTCGATACACTTTTCCAAAGCCCCCAATGCCAATGATCTCCTCCAGGGTCAGCTCTGCAAAGTCAATCTCTAATACTGGGCAAAAAGAAAAGAGAGACAGAGGTAATATGGCAAAACCATTCTGGAATAAATCATTTAAATCTCAATACACAGAGAGACCACTGATTTTAATCACGGAAATCTGACATGGAGACTTTTACTATGATTGGTCATTTCAACAAGTATCAGCACGGAGGGAAGGAGCAAGGGCAAGTCTAAAATGAATATAAGAAATCATACGCCAGCAACAGCCTGTGTTACTAATGCCATCTATTCAATACAGCCCTAGACTTCACAAGAACCACATTTCCGCACTGAATCTCCTTTCTGTCTGAGGCCATGACAGCATCAGCTTCATCTAGGATGAATTATAATGGCTGTGCAGAGCTGAGAGCACGCACTAAAGTTGGTGATTTCCATGTAAGCTCTACCCTCAAAGGAAGATTTTTTTAAAGGGAAAAAACACATAGTAATTACACATAAAAGATACACTCAGGCTTCAGATGAAACAAATTGGGCGTGGGAAAGGGAGGAGCAAGAACATAGCTCATATTCAATAAAAGCCAACAAACTTTGACTAATCACTTGCAAAATATTGTTCTATATGCTGGGGACATAGCAAATTAAAAAAAAAAACTCTTGCCCTCAAGGAGATTATTTTCTACTGAGAGGGGAAGAGGAAAGGAAGGGATACTCCATGTAAATGGATATATATACATGATAATTTTAGAAGGAGAGAGAAAGTACTAACAACTAAGAGGTTCAGAAAAGAGGTTCAGAACAGGCTTTTCATAGGAGATGGTACATGAGCGTGCCTTGATGAAGCCAGGGATACTAAGAAGGGGAGGGACAAGGAGAGAGGGCTCTTTAGGAATTAGTGACAGCCTGTGCAAAGAAACAAAGGTGGGGGGTGTGATGCTGAGTTTGGGGATTGGCATGTAAGTCACTTTTGCTGAAATATAAACTGTATGAATGGAAATAATGTGTAATACCTGAAAAGGTAAGCTGGAGCCATATGACAACGAGCTTTAAATGTCAGGCTTAAGAATGACAGCATAGTATTTTTCACATTCCCTCACCCCACCTCAGATTCATTTCTTTTCCAGCTTTTCCTATTTCTATCGAGGACATCACCATCCTTTCAAATGTCTCAGAATCTTCCTCAACTCTTCCCTCTCTTTACCCTCAATGCCCAGTTGTCAAATCTTGCCAGTCCTACTTTCATAACAGCATCTCACATCTGTTTCTGAGCTCTCATGATAGCTCAGGCCCTCATCACCACTCTAGGGGACTATTACAAACAACTTCCTAGTTGTCTCCAGGGCTTCCATTCTTTCTTTTCTCTTCCTTGTGGTCTTTCTCAAGCTCACGTCTGAACATGTCTCTTACCTGTGCAGTAGCTTTCTATTGCCTCCAGGATAAAATATACACTGCTAAGCTTGACATTTATTTATATATTTGTTGAGAAAATTTTTAAACATTTTTTCCCAATTACATGTAAAGACAATTTTAACATTCTTTTTTAAAATTTTGAGCTCCACATTTTTTCCCTCCTTCCCTCATCTCCCCTCTCCCTGAGATGGTAAGAAATTTCATATAGGTTATACATGTGCAATCGTGCACATATTTCCATGTTAGGCGTGTTATGAAAAGAGACACAGACAAAAAAAACCCACAAAAAATTAAGGAATGTAAAAAATACTATGCTTTCGTTCTGTTCTAAGACATATTGAGTTTCAAACCAATGAATATATAGACGAACATTTTGTAGGCACTAGAGATATAAAGGCAAAAGCAAAGCCATCTCTGCTCTCAAGGAGTTTAGAAGGGAAACAGCATGTACATATATATAAGTGCATACAGCCATGATCTAAGAGGGGGAGGCAAGGAGACAGGGCCTACCTCTTTTGTTTCATTTGAGCCTCACTTAATACAAGTCCTTGTAAAACAGTGTGCTCTATATCTCTCTCCCCACACATATATGCATATATATAAATATTCACACATACATGTATATACACATATACATACATATATGCACACATGTGCACATATACAAATATACATATACACACACACACACACACACACACACATATCCTAAGAGCCACCGATGGCTTTTAAACCTAGCTCATGTTCCTCCATAGTGGGTTTGTGGACAATCAAACGAATGGAATCAGCATAATTTTCTTGCTCTGCTGCCGACTAAGCAGTTCTTCTCTCTTAGTGAGTGGCTGATGTGACCATTTGCCAAGCTCCTGCAAAGCAATGGTCTTACAGAGCTGATAGTTACAGGGGCCAACTAAAACCTTAATACACAATCTTATACATGTTACACAGCATTCATGTCTAAAGGAATCACTACAAGGAAATGGAATAATACAAAAGAACTTCTACTTAATTATTAAAAGTCCTGACTTATTGCTTGCCCTCGTAGAGTTGAATTTGTTAATTTTGTGGTCCCCAAGGTAATGAGTTTATAGATTTGGAACCAAAAGGGATTATGCCTCTAGGTTGGCATAGTAGATAGAGAATAAGATTTGGAATCAGAAACAAAGACCTGAATTCAAATTTACCTTAGATAGTTACTAGCCTAGTGATCCTAGGCAAGTTACCAAATCTCTCCCTATCCACAAATTGGAGATAATAATAGCACCTATCTCACAGGGCTCTTAAGGAGATCAAATGAAAGGCAGCTTGGCATTATGGATAGTCAGGAAGATGTGGTTCAACTTCTGCTTCTGACACTTCCTAATTGTGTGACCCTGGACGAGTCACTTAATCTCTCTGGTTGAATATTCTCATCAGTAAAATGGTAATACTGCCTGCAGTACCTAACTTACAGAGTTGTAGTGAGGTTCAGTGAAACTGTATAAAATACTTTGCAAACTAACATGTATATATGCAAACATATGCATATATACATACACACATGTATATATCATATATATTGTTAAAATCACCACCACTACCATTATTTTCTTCTTCTTCTTCTTCTTCAAAGTAACCCTATTATCTCTAAAAAGATTTGTAAATAAAATGCTGGCACAATAAAACTCATATAGGAAAATCTGAGGTGAGAGTCATATTTGCCATGCACCACACAGAAAGTCAAAGGTTAAGAAAAGAATAACAGTTCACTTTTCCATCATGCTTTACAGTTTATACAATACTGTCAGGATAGTGGAAAGAACATTGTATTTGGAGTCAGAAAATCTGGCTTTGAGTCTTAACTCTGACACTTAGCACCCTAGTGAACTTGTGGGAGTCACTTGACATTTCTCAGTCTCAATTTCCTCAGAAATAAAATAAGTGAATTAGATCAGATGATCTTACAGATTCCTTCTAGTTCTAAATCTACGATCTTATTAGTCATCCTAATTAATTAGCTTCCTTATTAGAAAGTCAGTGAATTCAACTCTGCAAGGACAACCAATAAATAGACTGAGACTTATAAAAATAAATGCAAAGATCAGATATAAAATCTCCTGAAAAAAACTTAAAGATAAAATTCAGAATTATTCCTAGGCCACTTAACAGATGACCTACATATCTGCATTATTCCCTTCTGGTCAATCTCTCAGGCCTTTAGTGTTGTTCCAATTGCTAATGATTTTCAAAGATTGTTTATAAATCATTTCTCCTTGTTTAAGGTATAGCTGTTATGTCCTTCCATTGCTTTTCTTTCATCTTAATTTTGTCATGAGATTGGTAGTTTATGCAAAAATCACGCTTAAAAAAAAGTTGGGTGACATTTTCTGCATTTAGCAAAGATAATATGCCTTGTCCAAAAAAGAGATGAATGCTTAAAAGTTCCTAACTGTATTTAAAAAAAAAAAAAGGAAAAGACACCTATTGGCCTTTTCTTAATCCTCAGCTGACTAAGCACATTATAAATTCATGCTATCTAGCCTCAACTGGCCCTCACTGCAGAAAGATAGGCTTTTTATTCCTTCCTAATTGAGCCCCTATATCACTCCCCACAGAAGTTATTCCAAACCTTCTCTCCTCGGACCTCCCACCTAGCCTTGCCTCTTCTCTCAGCTGAGGACTATGACTCTAACTTTACAGAGAAAACTGAGGCCATTCTACATAAGTTCCCTCTTCTCAAAACCCCTTGATATCATCCTCTACTCTCTCTTCCTTTCCTCAAGTCTGACATAAAGTGGCCTTCCAACTTTTCTACATGTGCATTTGATCTCATGTCTTCTCATCTTCTTCAGCAAAATGCAACCTCATTCATTATTTCTCTGTTACATCTTCAAACTTATACGATCTATTGGCTCTTTCTCTACTGTCCTCAAATATGCACACATCTCCCCCATCCTTAAACAACCTTCACTAGACTCTACCATCTGTTTAAACTATAGTTCTATATCTCTTCTTTTTTTAAGCCAACCCTAGAAAAAGTCATCTAGACTCCCAGCTTCCACGTCCTCTCTTCTCACTCACTCCTTAATCCTTTGCAGTATGGGTTGTAACAGCTTCATTCAACTGGAAACTGTTTTCTTTAAAGCGACCAACAGTCATTAATGACCTGTCTGCGGAGTTGTGAACTGATTCAACCATTCTGCAGGGCAATTTGGAACTGTGCCCAAAGGGCTATAAAAACATGCATACCCCTTGACCTAGCTATACCACTAGTAGGTCTGTATCCCAAAAGAGATAAAAAAACAAAAAGGAAAAGGATCTATATGTACAAAAATATTTATAGCAGCTCCTTTCTAAGGGCAAAGAACTGGAAACTGAGAGAATGCCTATCAATTAGGGAATGGCTGAACACGTTGTGGTATGTGATTATGATGTAATAATATTGTACCATAAGAAATCATGAGCAGGATGCTCTCAGAAAACCCAGGAAAAATTTGCATGGGCTGATGCAAAGTGAAATGCACCGTGTACAAAGTTAACAGCAACACTGTAAGATGATCTGCTGTGAACAACTGAGCTATTCTCAGCAATACAATGATCCAAGACAACTCTGAAGGACTTACGATGAAAAATACTATCCATGCCCAGAGAAAGAACTTTGGAGTCAGATCACCCAGAATCATATCCGGCCTCTGACACTTACTACCTGTGTAGAGATGTCATTTAACTTTCCTGGGTCTCAGGTTCATCATTTGTAAAATGAAAGATTTGGACTAGATGCCCTCTGAGGACCCTTTCAGCTCTAAATCTATGGACTTATGATACTGAACTCATGGTGCTGAAGGAACAGCTCCTCTGGTTCCATCACTGGAAGGAAGAGAAAGAAGGCCACATGGGAAAATATGGCAACGACCTCTTTGGTTACAACATAAACCTTAGTTTCTTGTTTCAACATAAACCTTAGTTTCTTGTTTCATGCTTTATGGAAACAAGATATATAATCTGTATTAGCTTTGAGACTGATGTTCCGGTAAAACATGAGAGCTATATAGAAAATAATAACACTGGAGAATGACTCTTCTGAGAAGATGCTGCCCTGGTGTTTCTTTTTCTTGGGGATTATAGCTTATTCATCTGTGAAACTAATCTTTATTCTCTGCTCCTGTAAAACTTTAGTGCTGGTTTTAAACAAGAATCAGGTCGTGAAGTTTCCAGTACAAGCTGCAACTCAGTAACCTTCCATAAAACAAAAACCATATTTGTTCCACTCTGGGGTAATGCTTCCCACCCCTCAGATCATATGCAATAATATAAGTACATTTCTGCATGCCCAGAGCAAGTGAGCTGCATATTCTTCCTGTTCTACAAAGAAATAGCTAAGGGTGCTCATAATTAAAATCTAAAACAAATTGGAACCTCCCTTTTGCTTTCTACTCATGCAGTAATGAAAGTATAAATTACCAAATAAACATGACATATGCTCTGTGTGAAAGAAAAATAAAAGCACTTCTTGACAGAAAAAAAAAATTTAGCCCACCAGACTATTCCACCCAATAAAATACAATATAAACAAAGGGGTTTTTTCACCCTTAAGAATGAGAAAAAACATTAAAAAGCTCTTGAGTTATATATGCCAACCTTATTGGGAGCCAAACTCTATCACTTATGCTAACTACAACGAAAATAATAGCTTATCCTATTATATATGAAGTAATAGATGTGGGCATATTCCATAAAGTTAAAAGTGATATACTGATATAAGATGATATTATCAATAGCCTCCTAATTATCAACAATAGAGCCCTAAAAAGTGATCTTTCTACCTCTAGTGTCTTCTCTCTCCAAACCATCTTTACACATCTGCTAAATATGCTTAAAATTCAGATTTGATCATGTCACACTCCTACTCAATAAACCTCAATGTCTCCCTATTGTTCCTGGAAAAAATATAAAATTCCTCAGCCTAGCACTCAAAGCCCTCCACATTTTGGCTCCTAAGTACTTATCCAGTGTTATTTTATATTATTCCCCTCTCCAGACTCTTCTTCAAACTGCCCTGCTATCTAGCTGTTTCCTATACATGATATGTACATATGTACATGTTTCCCATATATATTTCATCCCCTCCCCCTGTGCATTTGCACATGTGGCCCCCATGGATGGACTGCCATTCCTCCTCACCTCCGTCTCTCACAACCCCTACCTTCCTTCAAAGCACAGTTTAGTTGCCACATAAGACCTTTCCTCATCTCTCTGGTCATAGGCACTCTCTCCTTGAAATTATTTGTATTAGTTTATGTATACTTTGTATTTATTCATACCCATGTTGTATCCCCTAGTCAAACATAAGCTCCTTTCGGGCAAGAACTGTTGGTTTTTTTGTCTTTCTATCTACAGGAACTAGCACAGTGCTTGCAGGAAATAGATGCTGAACAGATGTTGGCTGAATTGAATTTTTTGGTGGAACAAAACTTGGGGAATTCTTGTCATCCATATTTGAATAGAGTTTAATGATAAGAAAATTTCATTTTAAAACACCAACATTTAAAATCAAAATATATAGTCCTTCACATCATGTTCTTTAAGACCCCATATACAGTGTTTGTACAGCTCAATCACAAAATACCCAGAAGAAATCCTGAGGGGTTGGGTAGGTAGTTCAAGGAAAATATTATTAGTAGTTCTATCCCACTCCAGGTCTCTGGTGACAAAGATGCCCATTTTTATTTTCTATATAATACTAAATGTATATAATTCTATATAATACTAAAAGTATGATACTAAATACTAAATAAATACTAAATGCCACCTAGACAGCTGGCGGAACTGATGACGTCTAAAAGACAAAAAGTACACTTGCTGGCAATCTCCAGAACCAGGATAAGGACCAAAGGAAAGAATTCACAGGGATCTTGTCTGGTACTAGGTGACTTTAGTCTCCGAAAGGTATCACTTCCAGCAACATTACTCAAGGTCCACTGAACAAAGTCAGTTCTTTCCACTTTTGTGAATGTTATGAGGATTATTCTATTTCCTATCTTTCCTTCACTACTGAAGCTCAACCAGCTCTACCCTGGGGGAATCTTATAAGACCCAAATTTGACTTTTCTTAGTAGAGGAAAAGCTCCTAAAATGGAACAATGTCAATCTACATGGCTCATAGAGCTCAGGATCATTTTTATCTTCATATACATCCAGTCCAGACCACTGCAACATATTTCAGAAGCCATAGAATAGAAGACACTGAAGAAAAGTGAACTTTTTAGTACCTATTAAATACTCAATTCGACATACTTTTATCAAGAGCTTCTGTGCAATCCAATAAGATAAACTGCTATGAATCAGGCATTATGTTGGATGCTAAGTCTTCTTTACCCTAATTTTAGGTGGACCCAATGAATAAAGAGCAAAGGCTTCACTGGCAGAAAACATCAGACTCTGACTTAACTTAGTCACTAAAATGCCCATTCACTTCTTTCTCTGCCATACTACCACATTTGCCACTAATTACATCTGAGAGCACTCAGTTGAATTTTGAGGCTGTTAGTTCAATGGACTTAGTACCTCGACATCATTCACAAGAGCTCTTTTCAGAATCCAAAAATTATAAAGATCAACATGTAGCCATATGCAGTTTTAAATTCAATAAGGCAAGATGAGAACTGTGGGGGATCCCAAATCGGGGGCAAAAAGAAGAAGAGAAAGAAAGATTTCTGGTTTTGTTCTAAACTACTTTCGTGGAATAAGTTACAAGTCAAGAGCAGAGAGTAGTTTCACAATAGAGATTGTTAAACACTGAATTTTTAAGTACTGATAACAACATTCTTGCTAAGAACCTGTGTTTTCCTTTTATTTTAAAGGTCAACTGGGATATGAAATATGGCGTAAATGTCAGTAAGAAGTAAAAATATTCAATACTTGGTATCATAGGTTTAGAACTTGAAGGTACTTTAAATGTCATCTAATCCAACTCGGTCATTTTTTTTCTTTACAAATAAGGAAGCTGATGGCCCAGAAGATTAAGTGACTTGCCCAAAACCATGAAGCACCAGAGGTGGTATTGGAAGCCAGGTCCTCTCACTATCTTTCAAAAAAAAGTCTAAACATACAAAGGAGCATTTCAGATTTTTTAAAATCTTGTCGTTTTTTGCTTTCTGTCCTTTAAAAATAACTAACATTGGCTGCTTCGTGTGGTAATTTATGTCCTTGGAGTTTAATGAGATTTACTTATCAGATGTGAGTATGGATTGAGGATCATTGAGAGATTTAAGACAGTGACAAAAATACTATTGATCATGATCTGTCATAGTAAAAAACTAGTTTTAAGACCACTGTAGGAAAAGAGAGCAAGAAATATTTCTAAAGGTTCTTTAAACAGCAGGTTAAAAAAAAACAGCAGGTGAGTTAAAGAACTGGAATTCAAGCAATGAACTTTGTACTTCAGATACATTTTCCCACTCCCAACTCACCACTTCTTGGGACATTATTCACCCAGTGAGGCCCCTAACAATATGCTTCCTTGGTGTAGAGATAAGCCAAGAAAACTATACAATATTTCACAGAAATTTCAGCTTTGAGGAAACCTGGGGTTCAATGAACTTTTCAACCCAGCCCTGTCTTGGACTCCCCAATCTTCCTTTCAGCAAATGCCCATGCAGGGTGGGGGAGGAGTGGAGGTTAGTGGATCTGATGACTAAGATCCTCACAATATTGATGTAATGAAAAGAGCTGTGTGACCTTAGGTAAGTCACTTTTCACAGATCCTCAGTGTCTGTAAAAGGAGATAACCTCTAATGCTGCTCTTAGAAATACCTGCGTCGTTATGAGCCTACTATTACCCACCTGCACAGTAAAGGGTGAGGGGCTCCCTGAGCTAGGACTTGACTTTGTGGGGGTAAGTCACAGTAGATGGTAGTCCCATCAAAACTGAAAAGGCCCAAAGCCTGAGATTCGAGGATCCGCCTGCGCACCATAGATCTTATCGATGGCACTACCAAGCCCCTGCACCCGGCGCAAGCGCGCACCGGCTACCCGCTTTCCCATGGGTACCCCCCCTCCTTCCCTCAGCAACCTTCCTGCCCCAGTTCCCCCACTAGAGCCAGGCCCCTCCCCTCCACCGCGGCACCTCCAGCCCTCCTCTCTGCACCTCCTGTCCCGCCTTGCCCTTACGGTGGATGGCTGGGTAGCAGCTGGGGTCTTCCCCACCGGGCTGGCAGCGGCTGGAGAAGGCGCTCCGAGGGGTCACGTAGTTGCTGGGGAAGATGCCCACCCGCTGATTCAGCTGCCCGGTCCACCAGCCCTCGTCGCCGGACACCTGCGAGTCCTTGGACAGCACTTCCACCACATCGCCCAGCCGCAGGGTGAGCTCGTCCTCTCCCGCAGCCTCGTAGTCGAACACCGCGGTCCAGAAGGGCAGTGGTGGCTCGGAGCCCAGCTCCTCCGCCACTGCCACGGCCACCGCCGCCCCCTCTTCCTCTTCCTCTTCCTCCTCCTCCTCGCCCCCGGCCCCGGCTCCATCCTCCCCGGGCGGGGCGGCGGCAGCAGCGCTCGCCAGGCAGCCGAGAAGCGCGCGGGAGGGATCCATGGAGCGGGAGATCCATGGAGCGCAGGAGCCGCCGCTGCCTATTGTTCATGCGGCTCCGCAGAAGCTGGGGGACCCCTCCCCCGAAGGCAGCGGCCGCTGCAGGTAGGGTGGAAGGTGGCGGAACAGAGTAGGACCGGGGGCCGGGGTAGGGGATGTGGAGCGAGACCCCCCTCGAGGTGTCCCGGCCCGAAGAGCCCTCAATGTAGCACGGGGGCCGGGCCGGATCCCCCACCTTCCCTCCTCCACCTCCTCCTGTTCTACCTCCACCACACAGAGGTGGTGGGGTGGGAGGGGTGTGGGGTTGGGGATAACCCGTTCATGAAGCCAGCGTTGCCAGATCTGCTGCCCAGAGCAGCTCCCGACTCCTCGGTCCTCTCTTCTCCCTACTCCCCTCCCCACCCCTTTCGTCCTGTCTTCCTAGCCTAGGCTGCACGCCCAGGACCACCTGACACCCACTCCGCCCCGCCCAACCCTGCGGACTAACTGGGGCGGGGATGGAGGACCGGGTGGCAGGCGGGGACTCCTGCCCCACCCCAACCCCCGGTTTTCACCAGCTTCCCTCCCCATTGGCCACAGAGATCCTGGGTCCACAGGTTACACTGGTTCTGATTGGAAATGTCCTTCCCCCCCCCCACCGCCCCTCAACTGGTCCCCTCCCATCTACTCTCCATCCCTAATGAAAAGCACGCCTCCTCCGCAGGAAAGTCTCCGCCCCCCTCGCCCCCCTCCCGCTCTGGTTTCTCATTCTCAAACCCATGGATCAACCCTTTCCTCTAGCCCATTGGCCGGTGTCAGATTCAACCATTGGTGAGGAGCACCTGTCGATTAACCGTGAACGTACTGTCTTCCTCAAGTGAGGAGAACTCAAATTTTATTGGGTAGGCTAAGAGGGAAGGGTGTGTTCTGATAGGTAATAATCCACCCTCCATTCAGATTTAGTAAGAAACCTGAAGGAAAGAGCTGTTTCTTTGTTTGCACGGAACTGAATCGGAACCTTTCTTGAACATCACCTAAAGCTTTGACTTTCTCAGGATGTGCTAAGCAAGGGTTCCACTCCACGCGGGAAGACTCTTTTCCTCCATGTCATTTTTACATTTGGACTTACTTCCTCCTCTCTTCAGACCTTCAACTCTTGCTCTATGATGAGGGTAAAAATAATCTACATTTGTCTAACATTTTTATACGTTATCTTGTCTCTATAACTTTCCCATCTGCAGAGCAGCCCGTAGTGATTGGTAGGCAGGATTTCCTAACCTTTCTGGTGTCATGGACCCCTTTGGCAGTCTGGTGAAGTCTACAGACCTTTTCTCAGAATAATGTTTTTAAATGGAGAAAATAAAATACTCGGGATTACAAAGGACACCAATTAGGATGAATTCTACTACAACCCTGCTGAAATCCCCCATTCCTTAAATCTTTGGGGGTTTTTTCTGTTTCCTGTTCTCTGTGGGACTTATATCTTGGATTATTGCTGAAGAGCCAAGTTTCATCATTTTGATGGTTATCAAATACAACCCAAATGGGTGCATTTGGTTGGTCTACAAAGTAATATCTGCCAATACCTATTTTAGTTTTTAGTGGTGAAGGAAGAATCATAAAGTCATGGGAATTTGGAATTGGAACAGTCCTCAGATCAACTATTTCAATTCAGCTTAATTTGACACACATATAGTGTGTTTATTAGGGGCTGGGATACAAAGATGAAAAATATCGTAGTCCATGCATCAGAAATCTAAAACCTAATACACAGGAATTATAAGTTACGTACATCTAACATTAAGAACTGATGCATTGTCCCTAGTCAGCCAGTCAACAAGCGTTTAACAAACACAGTGTCCCAAGAATTGTGCTAAGTCCTGGGAGTACAAAGGAAGGCAAAAGTACAGTCCCTGCCTTCAGGAAGTTCACATTGTAATTCCAGAGTCAATGTGTACAAGATACATAGAGTACAAATAGAGGGTTATCTCACAGGGAAACCACTAGTAGTGCAGCATAGGGGGACGATAATCAGGAAAGGCCTTCTATTGTTCAATTATTTCTGACTCTTCATGACCCCATTTGGGGTTTTCTTGGCAAAGATACTGGTGTTTTGCCCTTTCCTTCTTCAGCTCGATTTACAGATGAGGAAACTCGGGCAAACAGGATTAAGTGACTTGTCTGGGGTCACACGGCTAGTAAGTATCCGAGGCCAGATTTGAACTCGGGAAGATGAGTCTCAGTTAGAAGCCCAGTGCTCTATCCACTGAGCCACTCAGCTGCCCTAAAGGGCTCTGGCAGAAGGCCTTGAAGTAAGCCAGTGAAAGAAGGTGGTGGAGGTGTTGTGGTCTGAGAGATTGAGACCCCTCTAAGACTGGAGTGAAGGATGGGTCGTCTGGAATTAATTCATAGACTCAAGCATTCTTTAAGTCAAGGTGGCAAAGATTTATTGTTACGCTTTTCATGGGACAAGGATTCTTAAGGAACCTGCAGGAGACTGAGGATGGAGCTAGGGTTTCTATGGAAAAGGGCAAGGGAAAGGAATGCCAGGGACACTGTGTCTTTGGGAGCTATGGATGAGAAAGTATAGGGAGTATACCAGACAGGGAGGGAGATGACAGAGGTATGGATCTTCGGAGACTGGCAGGAGTAAGAGTCCTTGGGCTGGCCAAGGACAAAACTCCTTGGGCTGGGCAAGGCACCCCTCTCCCTCTGTCTTCATGAGAGAATGCTCTGCAACAAGGGAAAGCTTTCTCACAAGACTTACTAAGGAATTGGGAGGCTTCCAGAGACATAATCTAAGGGCTGGGGCCTGAGCAGCCCAGCACTCTCTCACTCAGCTTTGTGTAGCCAGAGTAGGAAGAGAGATAAGGGTTGTGCTGAGGCCCATGCATGAATAACTGCTAGGCACAGTGTCCTTGGGCTGGGGAGAGATTGTCAGAGACAGTGTTTCTGAGACTAGGGAGAAATTGGGGTCCAAGTACAAGCACAAGCACCCAAGCACCCCATCATAGGTAAGAAGAGGGAAGATTCCAAGCATGAGAAACATCTAGGCATGGTCAGGAAATAGAGTTTTGTGTGGGAAGAAGAGCAAGAAGGCTAGCATTGCTGGATTCTGCATCATGTGGAAGGGAACAAAATGCAAAAAGACTGGACAAGTAGGAAGCAGCCAGGTTACGAAGGACTTTAAATGCCAAAAAGATGTGTGTATACATACATGTATGTATATATAAATATGTATATATGTGTCTGTATATGTACATAATATATATGTGGATGTATGAGAAGGGTTAGACTCCCTTTTCTTATACTCCAGCTCACTATACACCAGGACAAAATACTTAAGGATAAAGTTTTGGTTTGTAAGGGACAACTATGTATATTCTATACACAAAGTGGATGGTAAACACAGAACACTCACAAGTACACCTTTGACAGACACAACAAACTAAATAAACATCCTAATTATTGCTATTCTTTGACAAGAGATACTTAAAACCATTCAACATGAAGCAGTTTTACAGGACAGCTGATTAGGAATTTTGGACTTAACCTCTCCTCTGCTGTTTCTCTCAAAGCCTATATTTTCTGGCAAGATAGGCAGGCGATTGGGTTTATCATTGAAACCAGGAAGAACTAAGTTTAAATCTTGCCTCAGATACTAGCTGTGTGATTCTGGACAAATCACTTGACCCCTGTCTTCCTCAGTTTCTTCATTTGTAAAATAGGTATAATAGTAAAACTTACTTCCCGGAGTTATTGTATTAATAAAATGAAATATTTCTAAAGCAATTTTGCAAACTTTGAAGCACTATATAAATGCTTAAGATAATAATTATTTGTATTTAAATTAATGTCTATACTTAAAATATTTATATTTTACATATAAATTGTATATTTAAAATAATATATTTATGTTTAAAATAATTGTATTTCAAATAATGTTTATATTTAAAATAGAATATTTATATTTAAAATAATATCTTTCTATTTAAAATAATAATTACTATTAATACTCCTTGGGGTAGTCACCTTTAAGAGGGCTAGAGTACCTGTAAGAGAATCCTTCTGAAGTGTGGTCAGCACCAACTGAAGAGCCAGTATCTCCAAACCTGTTGAACTCACTAAAGTGGTCACTAAGTCTAAACATGTACATCTTGAGAATGTTTGGTCACCCATTCAAAAAAGGAAATACAAAGCAGAAAAAGCAAACAGGAACCTAAGAACAAGTATACCTAGCTGAGTTCCCCTATTCTAGCTACTATGTGGAATCAATCACTATGTGACATAGTGAAGAAGGACCAGTCCTCCCAGGAAGTTAGATAATGCCACCTGAAGGGTTGAAAGAAGAAAGAACCAGAAGCTGTGTCTCCTTTATAACTGAAACAATGCCGTCCCTTTCTGCTGCTGCCTCAGGTCTGAGAGAGGACCAAGGAAGCCTGCAGGATTTGGTGTATCATACTAAAGGAGCATGGAAGAATTTAGGTGGCACAGTGGATAGAGTATGGACCATGTAGTTAAAAAGATCTGAGTTTGAATTCTGTCCTTGAACACTTATTAGCACAAATTTTCAGTGAAATTGCTCCAGCAGCATTGGTGAGCTTGGGGGTAGGAATGGGAAAGACAACATAATACCATTCAGAGTTAGAGGACCTGTATGACCTTAGGCAAGTCTTTTAACTTTTCTCATGTAAACATGTGGAGAGGATTGATGATGCTGAGATCCTTTTATGCTCTGGCAAAGATACTGGAGTGGTTTGCCATTTCTTCCTCTGGCTCATTTTATAGATGAGGAACTGAAGCAAACAGGGTTAAGTGATTTGCCCAAGGTCACGCGGCTAGTAAGTGTCTGCGACCAGATTTGAACTCAGGAAGGTGGGTTTTCTTGATTCCAAGCCCAGTGCTTTATCTTCTCTGCCACCTAGCCTCCCTTTAACCATAATACTGTTATACTAAAACGGACGTGAGGTTGACTCAGGTTTGGGATTAGCAGGAAAAGGACAGACGGTAAAAGGTTCAAGGGCAGAGGATGGTGCATTGTTGAATTGGCCAACTATAGATTCAAGACTATTAAAAAACAGGAAGTGAAGCTCAAATTGAGGCAGGAAAGAGAATAAGCATTTCGTAGTGCCTACTATGTGCCCTTTACAAATATTATCTCATTAGATCCTCACAACAACCCTGTGAGAAAGTGCTGCTATTATCCCCATTTTACATTTGAAAAAATTGAGGTAGAGTCACACAGCTAGGAAGTGTCTGAGGTCTGATTTGAACTCAGATCTTCCTGACTCCAGACCTAGATCTCCATCTACTCTATCACATAGCTACCCTCACAACCACTGAGACAAATAGTTGCTCAGTCTCCTCTTGAACAACTCCAGTGTTTTT